CAAATATATTTCTATCCATGTGACTATATATTAATGTGTAATCAAAATTAAAAATTATATATATCAAAAATAAAATTAAAAATAAAAATCATCTGCTATCTGAAAAAAAAAAATTAAATCAATAATCTTCCAAACAATAAATCCATGATTGGTAAAAAGAGAAAGAATTTTCAGGAACCATTAATATCTCCAAGAATTGAAAAGCGATTTTTCAAACCTTTCCCGTCTTTACGTTGCACAATGGTAGCGCAAGACCTGTAAAAGCTGTGTCACTATTATGGTGGGGCAAAAGGACAATGAACGCGCTAATTAAATTGACTTTAAGGACCAAAATGACATCCAAGTCTTGGCCAACGCGCTCGAGTGACAATGATCGAAGAGTAGTCCTAGGGGCATTCTCCGGCCAACACTTCCCCTTTCGTTGGGCCACGTAGCTTGTTTTAAGGCTTTGAGTGCAACCTCTTACCACCAAAATAACGTGGCCCAATAAAAGTGAAAGTGTTGGTCCGAGAGTGCAGAGGCGAGTGCCACTAGCATTGCTCATGATCGAAATACAAAACGGATTTTTTTCAGTTATCCATTAACGCATGTTAAAGATGCATTAAATAATTTTTTTATAAATAAACATAAAAGATATAAAAATTAATATTAATTTTAATATCAATTAAATTTAATTAAATAATTAATAGCACTAGGCTGCGATGGAAGTGCACCTTCTCTCTTGGCTTCTTTGTCAAGGGTTTAAGCTGTCAATGTAGCAATATTGTAATTATTTCCCTATTTCTTAATTTTTTATTGGTAAAAAATTTTTTTTAATAATTAATAAATTAAAAATTAATTTTTATTTTTAAAAAAAATTTTAAAATAAAATATATTTAATATATTCTTAGGTTTTACCTCATAAATCCATACAACAATTGGTTGCTTTAGTTACTTAATTACTCGAAATCTTTATCTTTAGTGTTACCTCTCGGAAACGTGTTTAGCTAGCCTATCCATGCGACTATATATTGAGGTGCAACCAACATTAAAAACCACATCCATCTTCCACACAATATTGAAACCATCATCATGAGGGAAACTTTCCATGCTATGCTTGTTCTAGTGGCTATATTGTTCTTTGGAGTTGCAAAGTTCTGTTCCGGTCGGAACACAAGCTTCAATTGTATAGAGGGAGAGAGAGAAGCCCTCTTGAAGTTCAAACTTTGTTTCAATGATTTATCTGATATGTTGTCTTCTTGGAAAGGCAATGACTGTTGTGAATGGAGAGGAGTAGGCTGTGACAAAAATAGAGGACATGTTGTCTCACTTCAACTCAGGGGATCCATATTTGATCAACCTCAATTGAACTTGATTGATGATGTACAGGAGGCTGTTTCAAGTTTGCTCAAGCTGAGATACTTGGAACACTTGGACTTGAGCGGAAATGACGTCAACAGTAGCCTTATTCCACCCTCTTTTGGTTTGATGAAGCAGCTAAGGCACTTAAATCTCTCTTTTATGAACTTCAAAGGAAGAATTCCAGGTGAACTTGGAAATCTTACGAGGCTTCGTGTTCTTGATCTTGCTGACTATTATGGTGGAGCGTTGAAGGTTGATGATGACATTCTGTGGATTTCTCATCTCTCCTCTGTGCAGCAACTTGATATGAGTGGAATAAATCTAAGCTATGCCTCATCAAACTTGTTCCAGGTATTTGGCATGCTTTCTTCATTATCTTGGTTGAGTCTGTCATACTGTAGTCTAAAAAATTCTCACTTACCATCTCGCACCCATCCCTTCAATTTTACATTTCTTGAAAATATTCAACACTTCGATATTTCACAGAACTTTTTTCATGGTCCAATACCTATTTTTCTCCAAAACATGACTTCATTAACATTTCTTTATCTTTTTAACAATCAATTGAGTGGGAGTATTCCAGATAGCATTAAACAACTTTCTAAGTTAGAGAGTATAGATCTTTCTGGCAATCAATTGAGTGACAGTATTCCAAATAGCATCGGGCAACTTTCTAAGTTAAGAAGCATATATCTTTTTGGGAATCAATTGAGTGGGAATATTCCAGATAGCATTGGGCAACTTTCTAAGTTAGAGAGCATATATCTTTCTGGCAATCAATTGAGTGGGAGTATTCCAGATAGCATCGGGCAACTTTCCAAGTTAGAGAGCATATACCTTTCTAGCAATCAATTGAGTGGGAGTATTCCAGATAGCATCGGGCAACTTTCCAAGTTGGAGAGCATAGACCTTTCTGGCAATCACTTGAGTGGGAGTATTCCAGATAGCATCAGGCAACTTTCCAAGTTAGAGAGCATATACCTTTCTCGCAATCAATTGAATGGGAGTATTCCAGATAGTATTGAGCAACTTTCTAAGTTAGAGATCATTGATCTTTCTCACAATCAATTAAGTGGGAGTATTCCAAATAGCATCGGCCAACTTTCTAAGTTAAGGAGCATATATCTTTCTAGCAATCAATTGAGTGGGAGTATTCCAGATAGCATTAGGCAACTTTCTAAGTTAAGGAGCATATATCTCTCTGGCAATCAATTGAGTGGCAGTATTCCGGATAGTATCGGGCAACTTTCTAAGTTAGAGATCATAGATCTTTCTGATAATCAATTGAGTGGGAGTATTCCAGATGGTATCAGGCAACTTTCTAACTTGGAGTATTTGAGCTTTTCTTCAAATAAATTGAATGGGGTACTTCCAAATAGTATCAGTAAACTTTCCAACTTAAAAGTCTTATATGTTGCAAAAAATTCTTTGGAAGGTGTCATTTCAGAAGCTCACTTTGCAAACCTATTCAAGTTGATAAGTTTAGACATTGGGTTTAACAACTTGAATTGTGAGATGAAATCTAACTGGAGACCTCCTTTCTACCTTGCATTTATCTACATGGGATCTTGTAAATTTGGAACAGGATTTCCTGAATGGCTTCTATTGCACAAGACAGCAAGCATGGTTGATCTCTCTAATGCTAGCATCTCAGGTCCTTTTCCAGAAAACATCAGTCATATGCTGCCAGAGCTGCGGGGATTATTTCTTACAAACAACTTCATGAATGGTTCAATTCCAAAGTCCTTGTGCAATTCAAAATCTTTGGTATATCTTGATCTCTCAAACAATATGTTATCCGGAAGTATTCCTAATTGTTGGAGAAATGATCAATCATTCAATTTTATTGATCTATCTTCTAACAATCTTTCGGGTTTATTTCCGAGCACAATGGGGCAATTTTCATCTTTATTTATATTACACTTGAACAACAATAGTCTCCATGGGGAACTACATTTGGCCTTGAAAAACTTCACTTCTTTATTGGTTTTGGATTTGGGCGAAAACAAATTTTCTGGAAATTTAACAACCATTGTAGAGGGCACGATTAGCAACCATGCTTTAAAAATTCTCCGACTACGAAAAAATTTGGTTTCTGGTTATATTCCTTTGGAACTATGCTTCCTCTCTCAATTGCAAATTCTAGATCTTGCAGATAATAATCTGATAGGAAGGATTCCTCCTTGTTTTGGAAAGTTCCCAACTATGGTGAATGCAACACGATTGATTGGCAGCATGGATGCTATATATTGGTCTCAGGGGGATTTGATGGAGGTTGTGAAAGGGAGATACCTTGAGTATAGAGGAAAAACCCTGGGACTCGAGATCAATATAGATCTTTCGAGTAACCATCTAATAGGATCCATACCAGAGGAGCTAATTTTCCTTAAGGATTTGCACAATTTGAATTTGTCTTGGAATCATCTCTCAGGAAAGATCCCTGAGAAAATTGGACAAATGGAGAATTTGGAATCTCTTGATTTCTCCCAAAATGGCCTTTCAGGAACAATCCCAAAAAGCTTGTCAAAATTAACCAAGTTAAGTCACCTTAACTTGTCCTACAACAACTTGTCAGGGCCAATTCCAATAGGCTATCAACTCCAAACTCTCGAAGATCCAACCATTTACATTGGCAATCCTCAACTTTGTGGAGCTCCACTCCTAAATAAATGCTCAAATGATGCGCAACCTCCAACAACCGCCAACTTTAAGGACAACAATGAAGGTGCACTTAAAACAATGTGGTTTTACTTTTTCGTGATGTCAGGCTTTGCAACTGGATTCTGGGGAGTTGTGAGAACTTTGATTCTTATGAAAAGTTGGAGACATACTTATTTTCAATAAGTGAATGATATCAAACACTGGATCCTTATGGTTATAACATTTAAGGTGGCGTGACTTAAGAAAATGTTCAATGGCAAACCAAATGATTAGTGAGTTATACATGAAGTATGTTGTTGTTGCTACGTTTATTATTAAACTAGTTGAATAACCTCGTGTTGCAGGGTATGGTGTTGGGTCCAACCTTGAATGGCCCAACAGTGAATATGCCAATTTTAAATGAACACATAAATATTAGAGTTTGTAAAATTTTCAATAATATAACACAAGTTATTGTTCTAAAGGTTTCACAAAAATAAACATTTGTAAATTTAGACAAAAAATAGAGAATCCTATGCAAGGTTTTCAGATTGCATGGATTTTTATCTTTTCTATTTTGTTAGAAAAAGAAAGTTAAAAAAAAAAAAAAAAAAGAATGAGATGAAAGAATGAGATAGGAAGAATGCCTCAACTAAGTATACAATAATAGTCAAAATAAAATCCTCACATGTTCATGGTCAAAGTTTGGAACTTTCAGTTGCACACAATCAAATCGCTCAATTAAGTATCCATTATAGTGCAACTCTTACATAAAATTCTAATGTCTTCAATATTTCTTAAAACACATTTTCACATTGCATAACAGCACTAAAATCATTAAAATTTTTTGTCACAATTACTTGATGGCAACTATGGTTTATATCATACGTATTTGATGGAGGTTGTGAAAGGGAGATTCCTTAAGTATAAATAAATAAATAAAACTTTGGAACTCTATATTAGTATAGATCTTTCGAGTAACAATCTAATATGACCCATATCAGATGAGCCAATTTTCCTTAAGCATTTGCACAATTTGAATATGTCTTACAATCATCTCTTAGGAAAGATCCCTGAGAAAATTGAACAAATGGAGAATTTTGAATCTCTCAATTTCTCCCAAAATGCCTCTCAAAAACGATCCTGAACAACATGTCAAGTTTAACCAAATTAAGCCACCTTAACTTGTTCTACAACAACTTGTTAGGGCCAATTTCAACAGGTTATCAACTTCAAGCACTTGAAGATCCAACCATTTACATAGGCAATTCTCAACTTTGTGGAGCTTTACTCCTAAAGAAATGCTCAAATGATGCACTACCTCCATTAACTACCAACTTCAATGATAACGATGAAGCTACACTTAAAAGAATGTGGTTTTACATTGTCATGATGTCAGGCTTTGCAACTAGATTCTGGAGAGTCGTGGGAACTTTGATTTTTGTGAAAAGTTAGAGATATGCATATTTTCAATGGGTGGATAATGTCAAACACTGGATACTTGTGGTTATAACATTGAAGATGGCGCGATTCAAGAAGATGTTCAATGGCAACCCAAATGATTAGTGAGTTATATATGGAGGATGTTGTGGTTGCTACATTTGTTACTAAATTATGTTTCAAATTACCATGCTTGCTGTATTATGTGAAGTTTTTTTAATTATGGTTTGTGTACTCTAGGTTTGTTCCATGTTTATGCGGAATATTTACTACTAGTGTTTGAGGTTGAAATTTCCTTGCTCTACATAAATAAAAGGAAAATAAGCAAGCTTGTTTATACTATTTTGTATAAGATGAAATTACAGAAGTATTCAATACTCTCTTTAGCCCTGTTTGTTTTCTTCTCGTTGATTTTCCCAAAAATTTTTCTCCCACGCATCTACTTGTTTTACTGAATCTTCCTTTGTTTTGAGCATTGTATGAAGAGATGCAGGATCGTGAGGAGGCGGTATCCTACATGGGCTTGTGTCTGAAGGACTCTTCACTAGGGATTCCATCATAAATTTCTTCTCTAATCCCTTGGCCGGACAAGTCATGCTCTCCGAGCAAAGTTCAATTGCATTCTTAGGCACCTCAGGCTTGAATCTCAAGAGCTTGGCATATTCATTCAAGAGATGGAACATGTAGTCATATACATAGTCCATCTTCAACTCTCGGTGAATAAATTCGCTGGCTGCCTTCCCAATGGCATGTGCCTGATCAAGCAAATTTTAGTAAGATACATGATAAGATATATACGCTTACTTTGCTGAATATGTCCATGTTCTAACACATGTGCTTCTTTTCTTAGATGCAGATAATAAATAGAGAATTTGAAGTGTTTAATAAATGGATTTGTCAAGATAAAACTAAAAGTTCATGTAACACAGGAAAGGTTTATGCAAATTAATTTCAGTATTGAAATTGCAAGTATTGATTACCTTTTGGGTATTGTTGTTGCCCCAGTCAACTGCATACTTGATCGATTTGCACTTATCAACATCCTTAACAGGCCAATAATGGTGCACTGGCATCAAACCTCTAGTGAAAAAATCGTAGTACCGGGGTTTTACAAGTAAGGTCACTGAATCACACGCAAGAATGTATTTTTCACTAACCGACCATGCGGAGCCTTCAATGTAGATCTTGAACCTGCATTGATTTTGCATTCCAAAATCTAATGACAGGTCAATGATAATAAACATTAACAATTGCAAATAGAAATGACATGGTCAATTATGTTTAACCTATGGGTGCATTGGCTTGCCAAGTCAGATTGCTTGTACCCTTTCTTTGATTCCCTAATCCAATCCTGAATGTAATATTATTTCCAAGAGTTAGAAGCAAGTACAAATATTAACAAATTGAATTATTGAAGTGCTTTGGGATTATTGTTACCTGGGCGTAAACACGAGCACCCCAATCTTGTTTGTCTGAGACATTACATCTGACGAGGTCCTGTCTAGTTTTGGCAACAGCAGTATTTCCTTTCCAATAAGCATAGGGTTCTCTTTCCATCCATGCAGTCCTATTATTGCCTTCAGCTAAGTCATTTAACAATGACTCCCATGGTTTTATATTAATCTCTGGCCTACATAAATAGGCTACATGTGCCATTAGAAAATGCATGATCGATGTCACAGGTGCTATAAGTAGTGTATATATAGCTTAAATAGAAGGCCTTACCATCCCCAAAAAGACCAGTCAGGAAAAACAATATCCATTGTCTCATCATCCGCACAATATCGAAACAAAGGAGGTGGTGCCGATGCATTGGGGCCAGCATAATCACTTGACTTGATGACAGGCCAGTCTACACAATCAAACATGAGTTCCAAGTCAGGCACCTTTCCGGGATACTTCCTTAACAACTGTAAGATCCCCCACAGCGTGAAAACATCCCTTGTTTGAAATGCCCTGTGGTATCTCTCCATGTACGCTCTTCCATTCACTATAATCAATTTGAAATTTGCAGTTTTTTGGGCCCTGTCCACCATGTCTCTAGTAATTCCTGTGTAGGCCCATGGCCTAAGATCCTCGTGGATCCAACGGAAGTATTCCGGACAGATCTCTGGTGATGGAAGCTCGAGACGTTCTTGGGTTGTTGGGTAGGATGTGGGGCAGGTTTTTGTGAGGCGTAGTGCAGTGCAGTTGAGTGGGATTTCTATTTTCTTTTGAGGCTTTTTGGGGATTTTGTCTATTGCTGTGGCAGTTAAAAGCTGCGTCTTGTTTGGGACACCAAAAAGAGCCTGCAAGTGCAACAGGCGCTCAACATTTAAAAGGTTAATATAAATAAATAAGAAAGGTTATATTAAGAGTATGCTATTATATTAGACAGCAAAATATAAAGTATTAGATGAAGAGTCCTTCCCGACTGTAAAGAAGTTGCCTCTTAATACAATGGTTAGCATCTAGAATATGGATTGCAAAACATTTTTGTGCTTTTGTTAATCTTCCCCTTTAAATTGCAGAGTGCATTCCCATCACTCCAACATATTACTCTCAGTAGTATGTTATAGGACAGTATTATATAAAAAAAAATTTTATATAATTTTTACATATTATTAAATAAATATATATAAT